TTCCACGATAGCGTGGGGGGAGCAGGTGAAGGAGGAGGGTTGCGATGCTGCGAGAAGAGCGGGAAGGAAGGGGTTGTGCAAACGGAGGAGGAGTGGAATCGACGAAAGTGGGTGTGTGGGCGATCTTCGGGACGGCAAGGGAGCACCGAATCGGATTGGCATCGGAATATCACCAGACGGCGAATGCCACAACGAATTGGGTCATGGCGCACAACATTCGCATCAACATGTCCATGCCTCACCTTCCGATAGCGAACATCTCGCTGGATTGGCCTCCACGACGCCTTCCGATGAGGGGATTAGTGCGGAGACGGTGGAGTATGAGGGGAAAGGAACTTCCCGCGAGTCCGCTGCTGCACGACGACAACGCTTCGCATCTCTGAGAAATTGTATCGCGCAGATGGAGGACCCAACCTTAGCTTGGAGTCTTGCAACAAACGACGTCAGCCCTGCTCGCGGATCCGCATTCACTGCGACCCTCCGAGAGACTTTAAGCCATCTGTTTCCTTCGGAGGTGACCAACTTTCTTCGCCTTATTTCGGATCTTCCGTTGGCCGAACACGCTCGACGGTGCCTGTGGGTTTCATTAGTGAGCATGATTCGGACTGGTTTACAACCGCAACCATGGCATTACAAACACCTATTATGGGTATACCTTGAACGGATGGGTGAGGGGGGTGATAAGGATCAGGCTTGGAAGACGTATGGGCGGTTGCGGAGACTGGGTTGCGCCGCGGCGGACATGCGAATATATGCGATGTTTCTAATTTGGGCTGTCGATAGATCATCCCAGAAGGACGTGGAGTGGGTCTACCAAACGATGCGGCGGTCGGAAATTGGGTTTACTGCTGAAGGATTTGACGAATGTGCTGGAATTCATGCGGCAGTTGGAGATGGACCAGGCGTGTTAACGCTTTATCGGATGATGACGGAGGCTGGAGTGACCCCTACCGAGATGGCTTACGGGAACGTTATCAGAGCACTGACAAGGTGCGATGACGTCGAGTCTAGCGAATGGGTTGTCTCCGATATGCGATCTCGGGGATGGTCCCCACCGACAAATGCGATTGCTGCGCTCATGTCCGCGTCGTTGAAGTCAGGAGAGTCCCTGGAGGAATGGCTTGAGTTGATTCGACAGCATCAGCTGACTCCCGACGTACCCGTCTTCATTGTTGTGTTGATGAAGGCCATGCGGGATAGGCCGTACGAGGAAGTCGCCGCCCTCATTGACAAGGTTTTGAGGGACTCGCCATTTGAGCCGAACGCAGTCATGTTTACAGTGTGCATTCGATATCATATGAAACACGGGCATTTCGATACCGCTGTCCAGGTATTTGAAGACATGGAGAAATGCAATGTCGAACCGCAAGCCTTCAATTATGGAGATATGATCGAGGGATGCTTGATAAACAATCGGTTGGAGAAGGTGGACGGGTATTTGAAAGCTATGAGCGATCGCGGTCTCGCTCCAGACAAGTACATGGTCGCCAACATCATCCACGCCTATATCGCTCGTGGAGAGTTAAAAACAGCTCTCCAAACGTTTTATTTGCTGCGGAATCCGATACTATCAACAGCACTTTCAAAAATCTTGCATTCGCCAACATCATCACTTCCTCTCACATCAGCATCGTCATCACCTTCATCATCGTCATCATCATCATCATCATCACCATCACCACCACCACCACCTTCACCATCGACATCGTTACCCCACATACCACACTTGGCGCAAACGTCATCGTCGGTATCTCCTTCCTTCCGATACCACCGTCCGATACGACTCAACTCGTACTTTGTAACCCTGCTCATGACCACTCTCGGCCGCGAATCCCCTTCGACCGCTCTCTCAATGTTCTTCTACCTTCGCTCCCGTGGTGCGCGTGTCGACGCGGCCACCTACTCCCAGCTATTAGCCTACCACGTAGCGGATATACCGAATTTCAACGCCATCTGGCGCGACATGGAAGCCGCAGGCGTGAGGCCGCGCGTCGAGGTGTACACCCCTCTCATCATGTCCCTCCTTCATTCGGTAGACCGCGGTTCCGTAGGCAGGGAATGCATGGTTATACTGGAGGAGATGGCATCCAAAGGGGTGCTACCCAACGCGGTGGTGTACAACGCTGCCATCCAGACATGCGCAAAAGCCGATGAGTCGGTTTGGTGCGAGCGCCTGGTAGCTCGTATGCAAGCGGAAGGGTTCGCTCTGGATGCGCACACGTATGACTGGATGGTGGGAGTGTGGACGCAATATGCGCGGGATATGGTGCGGGCTGAGGTGTGGGCCGAGCGAAGGAAATTTGCACTGGGCGGGTACGGAGCGCGAGTTCGAAAGAGAATGGCGTACGGGTTTGCTCTCATCCGGGATGAGCAGGCGGCGAGGGCATGGTTGGAGAAAGCTGAGGCGGAAGGAGAGGCGCCGGCGAAGGACGTGTGGTATGACGAAATCTTGAACAAGCTGAAGACTATTGAGCAGTTAAAGAACGAAAGGGATGGGGTGGCGGAGGGTCCGAAGGCGCAGGGAATGAGGTCGAGTTTGGTGAAGCCATCTGACAAACTCGGACGGAAGGAATCCAATCGCGAGCCTCCACCCCCGACACCATCCGTTTCATCAGCCGGCCCACGCATAGGTACTCCCGGCGGCGATGACGGGTCCATCAAATGGTGGAAAGAGACATCACTAGCGGAGGCTGACATTCCCCCGCCACTTCCCAACCACGCAACGGGGCGATGGAGCGGGTTAGTGGCGCAGGTTCGGGCGTCATTGAGTATACCGAAAGGCGATGACGATGACGGAGGAGGAGGGGCCGAGGGAAACAAAGGCGGGAATCAAGTAGGCAGATGATGGAAAAAATGTAGAAGCTTTTCTTAATTTTATTTTTTAGATTGTAAAGGTTGATGTTGATTGTTTTCTTGAAGCTGGTTTTCTTCGGATCCGGCCATAAAGAGCCTACCCTTGAAGTGGGCGTTTACTTAATGTATTTGCGAGCTTTGCGACAGGATCGGCTTGTTGCGTGGCTGTGGGTCGGTTCTACGCCCCTTTTGCCACCTACCTGGCCTCGTATGCCGCTAACTACGTGAGAAACTCTAGGCACCTTTGATCATCCATCAGGTTGTTTGGAAAATTATTTACGTTGTTGCCCTATGACATTAAGTACTTTCCTACAACAGAGTATAACCAAAAAATGGGACAGTGGTATAATCAACAATGCTTTATCTAGTGGGATAAAGTTGCCCCGGGTTCAATACCTGGCTGTCCCCATCCAGATTTAGAGACTGTTTTTTCTTTTTTGTCTCCTGCCTGACAGTAATACTGGCCAATCAAAGCTGATTTGGCTGCGCCACCGTCGGCTCTGTGGGTATCCGGCAGCAAATCAACGGTTTGGCCATGCGACAAATTGGACGTTCTTTTGACGCATCGCTGGCTTCGGCAGACGCTAGTTGCAGCGTGAGATATAAGCGCTATCTTATGGGTCCATATGGGTAATCAACGAAGACGGATGTAGGTGCTTGGCGCTTATGTAATCCATAGCAGGTCACATTTCATTCATTTCGTGCGCATATTTGTCCTCCTCCGCAGCCCCATTTTATACCACTCCATCCATGCCCCCAAGACGGTACAAGCAGCCACCACCAGGCATCGGCGGTAGTAGCGGGAGCAGCGGTTTCCCACGCCTGGCAAACCTCTCGTTCCTCCTCACTCGAAAATGGGCCGCCGCATGGGCGCTGGTCGCCGCGTTCTTTGTCGCCGTCGCGCTGTTTGGCGTGTTTCATGAACAGATATTGACGGCTTTGGCGGTGTTTGCGGAGCGGATCAAGACGTGGGGTGTTTGGTATGTTTGTGAGGCGGGGTGGGACTTGTTTTCCGTCTGCTGGTGTGCGGGGAAAACGACGCGCACACGTTCCTCGCGCTTTGAATTTACCGATCACATATTGCAGGGGTGGACTCCTCCTCGCAGGCCTCCTATTCGTCACCTCATTTCCCCCAATCCCTGGTTACGGCACTCTCTTATATCTATGCGGGTTTGTCTTTGGGTTTCCTGCGGGGATCATACCGGCCTATTTGGGCCCGCTGGGCGGTGGGGTGACGTGCTTTGTCGTTGCGCGAAAGTGGTTGGGTGAAGGGTGGAGAAATAAGATTGTGACTGCTGTGCCGAGTTGGGATATTGTTGAGAAAGTGATTGAGGAGGGCGGGATGAAGGTGGGTGTTTTTCGTGCTTTGCGTCTTGGGTCGGACGGAGGTGACTTACCTCCCATCCCACAAACAGCTAACAATCCTCATCCGCCTCGCGCCCTATCCCTATAACCTAATGTGCGTCCTCTTCTCCGCAACCTCCATCTCCCTCCCAGCATATACCCTCTCCACCGCCATCGCCCTCCTCAAAAACTCTCTCCACGTCTACATCGGCTCCACCATCGCCGACCTCGCCATCGGCGCCTCACCCTCCTCCCCCGCCAAAGTCATCGCCCTGGTATGCAGCATGTCCGTAGCGATCGGTGTCCTCATTTACCTGACAGTCATGGTCCGGAGGGTCGTCAGAGCCCGGCGGGAGGAGGAACAGGGCTTGGTGCTGGGTGACGAGATCTTTGATGAGGATGATGACTTGGATGGGGATGGGGATTATGGGACGGGCACGTTGGGGACCCCGTCAGCATTGTGGAGGGCGGCAACCGAGTTTGGGGATGGGACAGGTGGAGCGGGGACCCCGGGGACGCCGGGAGCTCGCGTGGGACGGACATTTTGGGATGCGGAGGAAGAGGATAGTGATTTGGAGTTGGGGAGGGCTGCGTGGCCTCGGTGAAACTCAAAAGTACAGCGAGATTGGCCAATCAAGACACAATGTTTTGGCATCAGGGTGCATTTTACTGTTGTTGCTTGAGTGGAATCGTTCCATGAGCACGTCCTGTGTGATGCCATCCCTATTAAAATGACTTAAGAAACGGGCCTAGGCAAAACGGTTCAGACTCTTCAAGACTAACAACTTGAAACACACCAACAAGCGCTAATGGTGTAGTGGTAACATTTGAGCTTCCCAAGCTTAAGCCCGGGGTTCGATTCCCCGTTAGCGCATCCATTAACCCTCCGATCCAACTGTTATTTTCATTTTTATTTCCACCCCTATTACTACCACTCCCAGCATCGGCCAACAGAGGATTGATGGACTCCGAATGTTGATTCTACCATGCCAAAGGCATTGCGGTTACGGATGAATGAGCGCCTACGCAAACCATGGCGGACCGGCGGACTAGGGGTGTCGTTGCTACCATGCCAAAAAGTATGGAGGAGATACCATATGTGCTCAAATGTTCCGAAGAGACGGGGGTGATTATTGCGCGGATGTAGCGCGTGCCGGGTGGGTAGTAAAGCTGGTTGGTCAGAAGTTAGTTTGAACGAGACGTCGTCAACAGTTGGCTCGGTTGGGTATCCCAATTCTATCAAACAGGACTTGAACTGGGCAATTTTTGTTGCGGTGATAGTGGGACCCCAATGTGCATTCCCAGGTGGAAGACGTCGTGCGGCCACTGGTGAGGCATGTAAACTGACTATGTTCTTGTTCACTGCAGTGCCATCGCGCATAAAATATCTCCGTTTGCTGCATTATCATAATACATAGCAAGTTGCATTACTTGCTTTTCTTCATCAATCTTAATCCCTAGTTGATCCCATTGGTGAAACCGTTCACCGTCCCGTTCGCGATGCTTTTGCGTTTGCTACCCCCCTTCTCCTTCTTCACCTTACTCTCCGCCTTACCCTTCCCAGGTGTCGCACCAGCTCGCTTCTTCTTATGGGTATCCGGCGTCGCGGGAGCGGTGCCCTTTGATTTCAGCTTGACCTCATCCACCTTCACCCCACCCTCCGGCAACTTCTCAACCGCCTTCCAATCCTGTTCCCACTTTTCCTGCAGCTTAGCCTTCTCTTTCGGGTGATCTTCGAACCATCTTACACAGTCTGGGCAGCGAATGTAGTGCGCACCCATCATATAACCGTAGCCGAGCAGAAGGAATTCGGGGAGGATATCGCCAAGAGAATGAATTTGACTTGGGGGGTGGCAGTCCTCGCTTTTATGTGGTTGATGCGTTAGCGGTGGGGCAATGGTATGGGGGGAACAACTAGAGATTAAACTTACCAGTAGGCTTTCGGACAAGTCTGACACCGGTACAGCATCCCGCCCGCGTCAGCTGTGCTTCGGCTACAGCCATCGCAGCGATGCTGAGGGCAAGATAATTGACTTGCGCGGCTGAAGGAGCTTGGAGGAAGGCACCTGAAATGATACGACCTTGGGCAGTAACTGCAGTCTCTGTCGGTTTTCCCCAAGCTGCAATCATGACAGTGCTGATAATTTGACAATGAAGTGAGCATAAGACTTTCTCTGCAAGGAGGAAGCAGAACAGAGCGCTATTTTTACGAACCGTTTGCCGCAAAAATTTCTTCCTTTCCCTTTTTGTCTCTGCGCGTGCACCCTTTCCGGAAAACGTTGCAACAGCTTCCCATTCTGCATTGCCGATTGTTTCTTTTAACACCATGTGCGAGCCAATCTTCTCGACACGTTTATGGCTCACACGTTTGGTGCTCACTTGCTGCCATTCTGCGAATGCGAAAATCTCAACATGACCTCGACGACAAGTAGCAAAGCAAGGGTAAAGCTTACCTTCCGCAATATCGGTGAGTTTTCCCTTTGTTACCTTCTTTCCCTCCCACATTCGCGTCTTAATCGCTTCGACACCCTGCAATAACTCCTTCTCGTCCAGATCCTGGCCATCTTCCTCCTTATCAACTTTCAACTGATGCTCCCGACTGTGCTTCAGGATATCCGCAATATCAGCCTTAAAGAAGTCTTCGGTGTTGACTGGAAGTCGCGCGACGGCCCTAGCACCCTTGCGGAAGATGCTGAGAAGAGCATCGCGGCTCAAATTGGGAGCGGCTTCTTCTTCCGCATTTGGGTCCCGCAGGTCCGCGGTCACTTTTTCACTCAAATACAGCTTTTTCTGTAATCTCGTCAACATCTGCTCTTCAACGGTTCCTTCACAGACAAGTCGGTACACCTGCATGCCAAAAGGCCCGGCCCGTTACTTTCACATTCCCTTGAAAGTTTTATTGCCAATTATCAACCCACCTTGACGAGCTTAGTCTGGCCGATACGGTGAGCCCGAGCGAGTGCTTGAATATCCCTAAGAGCACCGGCGTCAATCGCGCCGACACAAACTTCTACATGAAGGTGAAAGATGGCACTAACACTTGTGGATTCCAATTTGAGTCATAGAAGATCACAGTATCTGCCTTCGTCAAATTGATCCCGAGTCCACCCGCCTTGGTACTGATCAAATACACTTCTTTCGCTGAATTGTGCAAAAGATGATGAGACTCTGTTCGCACAAGCACACACGGACGACAAGGATGCAAAAACCTACGCGAGTCCTCCTTCTGAAAAAAACAAATATCCAAGTTCCGCCTCGCCGGCACGGTACTTCCGTCCAGTCGAGAATACGGGATTTCTTTGTAAATCATGTAGTCTTCCAAAATGTCAAGCATGCCGGTGAATTCACTGAAGATAAGGGTGCGGTGGCCCTCCGACCGCAGGTGAGTCAGGAGCTTATCGAGAAGAATCATTTTGCTGGAGTTTAAGATGAGGTGGTCGCCTTGAAGAAACTAGTAAGAGAATTGAGGCATGAGAATTTTTTGGGACTTCAAGAAACATTCGAGCGGACAATTGCGAGTGCCTCACCGGCTCAGGTTCAGAATTGGGCATCATGTACGGGCTGTCAAAGTGTTTGGGACGACAGTTATGCGAGGAATCGGAGACAGCTATAAGAATTCCACAAAAACACTCACTGATTGCAGCATTTCCGCAATTGCATCAGCAAATTCATCAACTTCGCCCATTCTTTTCCTTTGTTTTTCAAAGCATACTCGACACCCTCGCGCATCTCAGCTTCATACTCTACGAAACTGCTTCCGTTCGTCGACATTATATCCCTGAGATCCTTCTTGTCTTCTTCGGAATCAACCTTCGCGTCCGGATCGGCCTTGACTTGTGGACCTCCGCCATCAGAGCCGCCTCTGGAGGGGTTGGCAAAGATTTCGTCTAATGTCATCCGGTCCATACGCATCAGCAGCCGGCTGTACCAGAACCGTTGCATGGGAGTCAACGGAAGGTAAACTGGGAAATTTCCACCGAAGATCAGACAAAGGCCAAAGTCCCAGTGGCACAAACGGGAGCTCACTTGTCATCTCTTCCTTTGGCGGAATATTCAATTCGACTACACTTTTCAATCTCCGTAACATGATCCGCTCCAACAACTTTCGCGAGTCTTCCAGCATTTGCCCATCATACAGTCCGCGAGTCAAGTCAAAGCTGTCTCGGAATTTTTGTGCCGTTTTCTCCGTGAACACTATGGCAAGCTTCTTCGTTAAAATTCGAACTGACTTGAAAGCTGAGCAGGAGCGACGAACTCTACCTTCTGGGTATAACCAATGGAAAAGGGCCCACACTGCGAAAATACCCACTAGTTTAGTACCGATCCGCGCATGTATGGAGCCACTCAAAGAAAACGGGAACATGACTCACGTTCATGCAAGTTATTCTGCAACGGCGTCCCAGACAATATCAACCTGAACTGCGCACGCAACCCCTGCAAGGCCATCGCAATACTCGTCTCGTTGTTCTTAATCTTGTGACCTGGCACATCCGTATCAGAAACGGTCCCATGGCCCAGCAACCTTGCGCATGTCGGAAATGTATAGCAGATCAAACTCACCTTCATCAAGCACAACATAACGCCATGTGAATGCATGCTTGAACCACCCGTTTTCCGTCAAATACTGATCGTAAGATGTTACGATAATGTCGTACTTGTTCGTCACGCAATGCTGTTTGAGGCGAATACGTTCTGCAGCAGTCCCATGGAACTTTAGAGCCGTGAATTCAGGCGTCCATCGTGCAATTTCCTACAACGAGGCAGGGTCAAACCGGGTTTCAAGGTTTAGCATTGCAAAGCTGGGAAAAACTGAACACAGCTTACCGCCATCCAAGAAGACAAAACCGATAATGGGCAAAGAACCAAAAATGGACCTCCGAGTCCCTTCTCGTGGATATACTGGAACAAACTGAGCGTTTGAAGGGTTTTACCCAGACCCATCTCATCACCTGACAACACCCACATCATCCATTAGCCTGTCGCCACAGCGCCACACGCGTTCACAAGCGGGAATCGCTCACCCAAAATCCCTGCTGCCCCATTATTGAACAACCACACCAAGAAACTCAACCCCTTCAACTGATACTCTTTCATCACCGCCTTCACACCCTTGGGTTGCTCCACTTCCTCATACGGAAGAGGTGCGCATGTGGACCCGGTCGGAACGGATGTGGGTTTGTCAAAGTAATTTGGCGAAGGCAGGAGTGGGATGAAGAGGTGGCGATTTGCGTAGAGGAATCGAGTGCGTTGTTGTTGTACGTGTGGGAGGTAGGAACGGACTTCGGCGCGGAGGGCCTGTGGAGAGGAAGGGAAATTTTGAGTGGTTTGTGACGAAAACACGCATAGAGAAGCTGCTGTGCGAACCCCGAATGTGGGTCATACCTGCGCGCCTTTCTTGACACTTTCTAGTCCTCCGACACTGCCTTCAACGCCTTCAATCTCCTCCACAACTTGCATAATTTGATCCCCATCCTCCCCGTCCTCCACCGCTTCCATTTCCTTGTTCTCCACCTTCCTCTTCTTCCTGCTTGTACGCACTTCCCGATCCTCATCATCCAGATCATCGTCAGTGTCCACCTCCCGATACTTTCCCACACTCACGTCCCGCCGCCCCATGTTTCTGGTCTGTCTCCGTTTCGCCAACCGTTCCTTTTCCGCTTCGGCGTTGGCTACCGCCGCTTCTGCCGCAGCTTGGGCAGCCTCCTCCGCGCGCTTTTGTTGACGCTCTGAGGTACGACGCTGGGTTGCTTCCATTTCACCGAGCATCTATATGGAAGTATAGGCCAGAAAGGAGTGTTTTGGGTAACAATTTGGAGGATGTTCGTTGGAGTAGAGGATGCTGGTGCGAAAAGTGAGAGCAGGAGAGCGAACGGT